GTTTATAAAAGAAATGTACACTAGCTGTGTGACCCTGGGCAAGTCACTTAACTCTGACTGCCTCCAAAAAATATGCAGGCGTCCCTTTACAGAAGGCCAGGTAACAGAATGAATAAATGTATTTTAGTGGTCATGATATGAGTCAGTAGTTTGACGTGGCAAGCAAAAAAGCTTCTGCCATCTTGAAAGGCATATTTCTTCTAGAGGGCAGCCAGGTGGCGCAGTGGATAGAGCACCGGCCCTGCAGTCAGGAGGACCTGAGTTCAAATCAGGCCTCAGACTAAACACTCAACACTTACTAGCTGTGTGACTCTGAGCAAGTCACTTAACCCCGATTGCCTGGGAAAAAAAAAAACAAAACAAAAAACCATATTTCTTCTAGAAATAAGGTGATAGTCCATCTGTACTCTGACATCATTTGGAGTACTGTGTAAAGTTCTGGATGCTATTGCTTAAAGGACATGATAAGCTGAGTATTTAGAGGAGAGCAATGAAAGGTCTTGTGTCCATGGACCGAAGAAAATAGGGAAGTTTAGCTTGGAGAAGACTTGGGAGACAATGATGACTGTATTCAAAGCTGTTATGTGAAGGCAAATTTTATAATAATTTATAGCATTTATGTTATAAAGTTGGGTGTTATAAGGTTTTTCAAAAGCATTTTATACATCTAATTTGTTACTCGTGATCTGCGAAGTAGGTGTTATTACATGCATTTTACAGATGCAGAAACTGAGGGCAAGAGGTTGTGACCTGCAGATTCACAGTCTGAGGCAGTATTTGAATTCACTTCTTGTGACTCCAAGTCTAGCACTACATCCACATCACCTAGTTGCCTCTCAATTAAATTTGTTTGAATCATCTCATCACTTCCTTCCCCGCCCCCCTCCCCCATTCTTACCTTATTGCCTCTTCCTTCTTTAGGCCATTAGAACAGAAGAAACTCCCCCAGATACTTTGTCTTCTTAATTCCCTCTATGACCCCTGAAGACATTAAGGATTCTAAAGGGATATTTGTTTTTTTGCTGCTCTCTAACTGGAAATACATGAGATTTAGTCTGGTTGTACATTTGTTTCAACTATGACCTGAGTAAATATGACCACAAAATCTCTATTTCCAGTCCTGACCTTCCACTCATTCTTCAGCCACTTCCAAAGGCAGAATCTTATCACTTCTTATGCCCTCTAATCATGTATACTTTCCAAACTTATTTAATATCAGATTTTTATACTTTCATTTAACTTTGTTCTCTCATACTCAGCCATCATTTTCTGATTTGAGAGGATAATTTCACAGCCACCATACTAATCCATGTCCTAGAGATCTATCTTTGCTTCATACATGTCCACATTCCATTGCATCTTACTCACAGCTGATAGGTTTTTGTCATTATATTCAGGATAATTTGCTCAAGAACTTATTCCCTGTTGCTTATTATGTAAGATCTAAAGATGAATGTGGAACTAAAGGGAGAGTAAATATTACTGTTACCTTCAGGAAGGAGGAACTCGGATAAATGATTAAGTACTTCTGGGACAGACACAAAGGACATTTGAGGAGCTAGTCTAGTGCCTATAGGCTTCTAGAATGCACTGCCTCTCTGATCAAACATGTTTGCATGTGGTACCATCACTTACAAAGGACTGTTATCTCCTCTTCACACACTGCCAGTTGGAAAAGCTTAAAAAAAAAGATATCATTGACTTCATAAAATACACAGTTGGAACTTGTTGTGTAACCCTACAAATGAATGAATAGTAATTTTCTCTGCCACATTCCCAGCAAGTGGTCATCCAAACTTTTTTCGAATATCTTCACTGATAAGGGGAATCCATTACTTGTTGAAGCAACCCATTTTACTTTGGGACGGTTCTAGTTAGAAAGAAAAATTTCCTTCTTATACCCATTGCTTTTAGTTAGGCTTTCTGGTGCCAAGGAGTATAAGTCCATACTCCAACTACTACTCCCTATTACCACCCCATAGTTCTAGGTGAGACTATGGTCTGTGTGTGGCAGTATGTTATTGGTTTTCTGGCAAACACATGGATTCAGCTACTTCATGATCAGCAAATCCGGGGCCTTCCTACCTATAAATTGTTGTATGTGTTGGGTGGGAGGGCCAGAGAGGCAGGGAAAGGGGTAATGGAGGAAAGAACAGAGAAGAATGCCATTCCATATACCTAATGACTGGGCTAATATCTTCTCCAGATTGTAGTGAAGGAGAAAAACTTGGGTTCTAACCCAATGTTTTCCAAACCTTTTGATCATAGGCATGCTTGCAAATGTTTATACTCATCTTGGCACAATTTGGTGAAGGTCCTAAGGAGCAATGGCACAAATTGCATTTGGGAAAGGTGTATTTCTATTGAAGATTGAAAGACAGCATTGGTCTTTGGAAGAGAGGACAAAAGGACAGTCTGCAACTTCATATGGCTAGCATCTGAGGCCAGTCCTGATTGGTGTTCAAATGTGGGAGATGAACTGATGAGCATATATGAAGAATACCTGGGGTATGCCACACAGAAAAAGAGATTTAGAACTGAAAGAGACCCTTAGGAGTCATCTAGTCCAATTCCCTCATGTTGCAGGGCCCAAGGCATTAAGTGACTTGGCAATTAACATGCAGGTAGTTAAGTATCAAATGAGGGATTCAAACTCAGGTCTTCCTTCTCAAGATGCAGTTCTTTTTCAGTTTTGGCTATGACAGCAGTTCCTTATCATCATCATGAGAGGGGGTACAGAAGGATAAGGAATAAGCCAGGCTTTCTACAAAACATTGTCTGGGAAATTCCATTCTCACACCTCCTTGCCTCATTTCTCCTTTATCTCCCCAATCACTCTTCTAACACCATTTCCTCCTCTGACCTTTTAACTATAGGTGTTCCCCAAGGTTCAGTCTGTGACCCTCCATTTCTCTTCATGCTTTAAGTGTAGCCTATCTATCTCATGGTTTGAATGAAAACCTGATGAAATCTTTTATCTCTAGTCCTGACCTCTCCAACAGCTCTAATTATGTATTCTTGTCTATCTGACATCACTCTGTATATGTCTCCTTCAATTTCCTGAGGTAGATACTTGGAGTTAGCGTCAATTTTTCCCTTCTCCTATATCACCTATGCTCAGTGTCACAAAAAATCAAATCAAATCAAACAAAAAGACTCCAAACCAAACCTGTCAATCAGTGTGGCACAGGTGATAGTATGCTATAGAGACCTATAGCATATCAGGAAAACTTGTGTTTAAATCCTGATTGATATAAGACATTTTTAAGCTGCTATCTGCAAAAACAGGTATTACCAGTTTTACCTCAGATTAGTGAAGCTCAAACGTGATAATACATATAAAATAATTTACAAACCTTAGAGTACTATACAATTACAACCTATTTATATTCCTATTGCTTTGACTGTAGTCTGAGCCTGAAGCTTCCTAAACTATTCTCATTGCTCATGATGGATTATTCCCTGTACCAGTATTAGGTCATCTCTGCCTCACTGTTGCTAAGAAACCTCCAATAACTTTCTATTCTCTATAGGACAAAGACTCTCCGTAATCTGGCCTTACCCAAGATATTCTTCAACTGTATCTCCTAGTATTTTCTAACTATGTCACGGTTTCATCTCTTCATCTTATTGTGTGTTGTCACTCAACTGGAATTACCTTTTCCCTCCCCTCTTCCCTTTAAGGTCCAACTCAATATTTAGTCTTTCCTGGACTGGGCCACATCAATCTAGCATTTCTTCAAATTCCCAAAGTATCATTTTATATATTACTCATCTTGATATGTTAATATTCACATTACAATGCTGCTTAATGTTTAACTGTTTCATAATATGCTTTGATATACAGGTAGACTGTAAGCTACTCGAGAACAGGGGTTGTCTTTTTTTGATATCCTTCTTAGTGCCTCTAATGCACATAAGTAGGCATTCAATATATGCTTGTTTAAAAAAAAAGATTATAATGATTAAGACCCAGTACTTTTTAATAGGTAGGGCAATAGCTGACTGACTTAGGAAAGTTTTGGATGTTTTGGAGAATTATATATTTCATAATCTTTGATAGTCTAGGTTTCTTTAATCTAGACTGGGAACAGTATCTCATTGTATTGTAGACTGTCTAGCAGAGATACCCAATGGCAACTGATGGCCAAAGGCATCACTCCCCTTAGCCTTGAATCACTACTTTTTTTAATCTTTTCTTTTTCAAATAGGATTGATGAAAACAATGGCTAAGGATGTTCATTTTAAAATATCAGAAGACTAGAATTCTTTATATCCTGTGGAGTCAGATGAGGAATAAAAAAACAAAAGAAAACACATTTGGATGTTAAATTCTTAACTTCTACTTTCTAGGCCAGGCTTTGTGAGGGATTATAGGGAGAGACAGGAAACTGGCAGAGGTTTTGTGTTTCTTTAGGAGAAAAACATCATGGCATCATATATTCATTTACAAGAGGGCATGTATGCTAGAAGGGTAGTAGGTTATCTGTACTAAGGAGGAAATAAGCATTTATTAAGCACTTAGTGTGTGCCAAACACTACGCTTAAGTGCTTTATAAATATTGTCTCATTTGATCCTTCCAACAACCCTGGGAGGTTAGTTCCATTATTATCTCCATTTGACAAATGAGGAAGCTGAGGCAAACAGAAGTTAAGTGTCTTGCCCAAGGTTTCATAGCTAGTAAGTTTCTGAGGTCAAAGTTGAACTGGGGTCTTTCTGACTCCAGGCCCAGTGCTCTAACACCATGCTACCTAGCTGACTTAAAAAAAAGAATAGAAAAATCAAATAAGTGCCACAGAAGAAATCAGGGCACCAGGACTCCAGGACCCAGCTTCTCACTGAAGAATTCCAGGAGTGGGGCACGGAGGCAAAGGGCAGACAGTATAGTTTATATGTAGTCAGACTTCAATTTCAGACTTCTGAACAAGAGCAAAGGTAAGTGTGAAAGAGGAGGGACTGGCTATAATTGGCAACAAAACAAAGCATTCTTCAAAAATACTGAGGTTCTAGTTTCATAGTATTTTATTATGAAAATATGATTACAGTCAAATTAGTTGAGACTGTTGCTTCTTTCTTCTGCGTTTTACCCCACCTAAGGTCTATCTGGTCGAATATATATCTTCATCCAAAATGACCACAGAGTAAACAAGGGAGGATGATCACTTTCTACTTCAAAAACCTGAAAGAAAACTTAAAAACCACAAATTACAATTAGTCTCAATTATGAGGGTGAGAAAAGGAACAGATTAACAATAGGACAGGAGTTTTAAAAAATGCTACAAATTAAGTTACCATGATCCAGTGGATCCAGAAGTTATTCCTCTACTGAAATAGTAGTGTGTCTTAGACACTGAATACGACTTTGAAGGGGTTTGTTTTCAACAACCAGAACTGAAAAGCTCACCTATAATAAAAATCTTTTTAGGTAAGAGGTTCCTAATCTGTGACCTCTTTTTCTCAAATATTTTGACAACTGTACTTTGACAACTGGTTTCCTTTGTAATCCTATGTATTTAAAAACAAACTGAAAAGTGAGACAAGGTACAATTAGACCTAGAATGAGGACTTGCTGTGCTCAGATAATGTAGGACGTATTAGACTTACTCTGAGTTACACAATATTTTCTATTACTGCATTAGTGTTTCTTGATACTTTTTTTTTTCAATATCTGAGATTTATAGTTGGGCCTAAAATCTTTTCATTTGGATAACAGGTAAAATCCCTAATTTTTAATGAAATACACCTCAAAATGAAGACTCTTAGTCAAATTTCTCATTCTAAATTTCTGAATGTGATTTCTGAAGCCCTTTAAAATTACTGAAAGGTTGACATGACACTGTGTAAGGAATACCAATCAGCATTACTATCTTCATACTACAGAAGAAATCGGGATAAAGGATTAAAGTTGTTTCAAGAATAGAAGTGCCTATCCAACAATCACATTAATACCTTATTTAGGATCCTTCCATTCGATCCTCTCTAATACTTTTGTGTTTCATCTAGAAATTTGCATCCATACGTGCCTCACACATAGTGGTTGTTAGTGGTGGTTGTCCCTGGTCCTTGAAGAGGACCAAAGTGACATCACTATATTGGGGTCAAGGTATAGTATGTGGCTGATCAGATCAATAGGAACTCGGAAAGGCTCTACCACAGGCTGGGCACAAACAATCCATATGAACATTTGGAGTGGAATTTGGAATTTATTACAAAATAACTACTCACATAATAAAAAAAAGTCTTATGATCTCAAAGCACTTAGCTCATACCAACTCTAAGGTGGGTACTCTTTAAGTTTTATCATCTTCCTTTGGCAGGTAATGGAACTGAAAGTTGAAGAGGTTAAGTGACATGTCCAGTTACTCAGTTGGTAAGTTAAAGAGTCAGGATTCAATCTCAGGTCTTCCTGACTTTCATTGCTTTATTTTTTCCACCAAAACATGCTTCTGAATGCATGAGTACAGCATTCCAGCCCGACATCGCCCACCCTACAGTGAGTTGTTCCCAGCTCAGTGCTACACTTGTTTCCAAAGTTCTTGTTAGCCAGTAAAATGAAAAAGATAGATGATCTCAGAGGAGGACCCTTTTCAGTTTTCAGAAACAATTTCTGACACAAACCAACACAATTTTAAATGGTAAAGGGTGGCAGCGTTTAGTGGAAGGAGCATTGGATTTAGAAATTAATTAGTGAAACAAGACTCAGAATGATTACTACTCAAAATTCTGGTGCCACAGGGTACCTTTTATTCTATTTTACTGTTAAGGAAACTGACAGAACAAAAAATAAAGAGAGGTAGGATAAGTTCATGGACTTTCAAAAAACACACAAGTTAGTACTTAGAGGATTTAAAGGGGGTAAAACAGCCACCTATTTGATCTTACTATAGTGCAGTAAGTGAAGATTCTCTAAATTGCATTTGGAATAATGTGAACAGGAGTTTCATCACAAAATTTTGATATCTAAAATATCAAATGTCAAATTATGTAGGCATAAAAATATATGTGGCAATTGTTTGGAATGATGAATTAATTTCTTCTAATTTGCTTCCAAACTTCTCTCATTTGAGTACATAGTATCTATCAGTTGTCTTCATTAGTGTCCGACTCTTTAGGACTCCATTTGGAGTTTTCTTGGCAAAAGTACTGGAGTGGTTTGCCATTTTATTCTGCAGCTCATTTTACAGACGAGGCAAACAGGGTTAAGTGACTTGCCCAGGGTCACATAGCTAGGAAGTGTCTAAGGTCAGATTTGAACTTAGGTCTCCCTGACTCCAGGTCCAGTGCTCTCTCCACTGTGCTCCCTAGCTGTCCTGAGAAGATAGTGTACAACCTCAGAAAAGCATGTATAGTTTATATCAATATGCTGCAAACTGTTGAGGCAGCATGGAGTAATGGACAGTGTTGGACATGAAGCAAAAAAGAACTAGCATTCAAACACCATCGTGAATACTTATGAGATCTGTGACCCTGGGCAAGCTACTAAATCTCTCTTCTTCCTTCCTCCTTTTCTCACAACCCACTACTTCCTCTTTCATTTGTGCCTTTTTGAAGAGATGGTCTTTGCTTCTCCAGCAGACTGCCCCCTCTATTATCACCCCCACTATCTCTATAATCACCAGTATCTCTGTATCTACTGGTTCCTTCCATGCCATTTACACAAACACTCATGTCTCCTTCATCCTTAAAAATCCTTCACTTGATACTACTATCCCTGCTAGCTATTGTCTTCTTTCCTCTCCTTTTTAGCTAAGTTCTTTGAGAAAGTTGTCTAAATCACTGCCTCCACTCCCTCTCTTCTAAACCCTCTGCAATATGGCTTCCAATACTTCATCACTCAAATATGCTCTTTACAAAGTCACCAATGATATCTTAATTGCCAAATCTGATGGCCTTTTTTCAAAATTCATCCATTTTGACCTCTCTAACTTCTGATGCAGTTGATCATTCACTTCTCCTTGATACTGTCTTTATTCTAGGTTTTCATGACACAGCCATCTCCCGGTTCTTCTCCTACATGACTGCTCTCTCAGTCTTTGCTGAATCTTTATCCAGGTCACACCCACTAACTGTGGGTTTCCCAGAGGGCTGTGTCTTGGGCCCTCTTCTCCCTCTATACTATGTGATCTCATCCGCTTCCATGGGTTCAACTATCTTCCCTACACAGCCTTAAACTCCCTCCTGAGCTCCAGTTTCATGACACCAATTGTTTCTTGGACATCTCAAACTGAATGTCCCATAGACCTCAAACTCAACATGTAGAAAGCAGAACTCATTATCTTTATCTCAAATCTTCCACCCTTCCCAACTTGATAATGGTACCACCATCCTATTCTCCCAGTTACCCAGGTTTCCAAACTCCAGGTCATTCTCAACTTCTCTCCAGTATGAACTGCACATACCCAATCTGTTGCCAAGTTTTGTTGTTTCGACCTGGTTCCTTCCTATATTTCAGTCTTCTTACACTTTACTCTCCATATAATGTACAATCTAGTGACACTGCCACCTTGCTGTCCTCCCCACACAACATTCCATCTCCTAACTATAGCTGTCCCCCATGCCTAGAATTTTATCCCACCTCACTTCAGTCTTCTGGCTTCCTTCTAGGCTCAGTTCAGATCCCACCTTATGCAGAAAGCCTTTCTGGACTCCCTCACTAGTGCCTTCCCTCTAAGATTACCTTCAACTTACACTGTATATATTTGAATATGCAGAGCTGTATGTTGGTTGTCTTTGCATTAGAAGCTCCTTGAAGGTAGAGACCCTGTTTTTATCTTTGTATTTCTGGCTCAAAACAGAGTTATCTGGCACACACCGAGAGCTTAATAAATATCTGCTGACTATCTAGACCCCAGTTTCCTCCTCTATACAACAAGGGAGCTGAGTTTCATTACCTGTAAGGTTCCCTCAAGCTCCAATTCTATGATCCCATGAACTATTCTAGGAACAATTAAGATTGGAAAACACTGTCCTGGATAAATGTACACTAAAAAGCCATGTACATCATAAGCAGAATCTGGATTTTGGATTCAGGCTGCATTACTGAATCTTGGCAAAGAAAAATGGTTCTAGATTCAGGTCAGTGCTCTGCTTCCATGTGGTGTCTACCCCATGGCTAAACATTAAAAATTCTAAATAGACATCTCATCCACCTAAGAGACACTTGGCTTAATCTAGAAATCTTGACCATATCATCTAGGTAAGTTTGTTAGCATTGAAAGGCAAAAGATTTAATCCCTCCAAATTAAAAAAAAGACCCTGCTCTGTAAAATCATTGTGCTGGACACTGTGAAAAGAGATACTATACAAATTCTGCTCTCAAGCAGCTTACAAAAGGGGCAGTTAGGTGGCACAGTGGATAGAGCACTGGCCCTGGATTCAGGATGAGTTCAAATCCGGACTCAGACACATAACACTTACTAGCTGTGTGACCCTGGGCAAGTCACTTAACCCCATTGCCTAGCCAAAAATAAATAAATAAATGAATGAATGAATAAATCAAGCAGCTTTCAATCCAAGGAGAGGGGTGGAGGAAAGCAAGTCCACAAATACCTGATACAAAAGATGAGAACAAAGCAAAATGTTGAGAAATCTTAGGAGTAAGAGGTTCCTTTTATCCTGGGAAGGGGAAGAAGTTAGGGAAGAAGGGGAGATATATAATGGTAGAAGTAACATTTAAGTTGTGCCATGAAGGAACTTCAACAGGTAGAGTTATAGAGAGGGAATTCACTCCAGGTCTGGCTATGCCATGAGTAAACACAGAAAAATAGGCAAGTAAAGACTGGAAGTGAGCAGCCCAATTTTAACTGGAATGTAAAATATGTGAAGAGGAGTAATATGCGATAAAGCTGAACAGACAGGTTTTAGCCAGCTTCTGGAAGGCTCCAAATACCATTGACAGTAGTTTATATTTTATTTCTTAGGCAATGAGGAGTCATTGAGGGTGTCTAAATAAGGAAGTGACATGATCAGTGATATGGTAGGAAGATTACTCAGGTAGCAGTGTAGACAATCGAATACAGAGGAGATAAGAGTAAAAACAAAGATCAATAATTAGGAGGCTGGTACCACAGTCCAGGTAAAAGAAAATGAAAGTCTGAATTACAGCGGTTGTGGTGGGAGTAAAAAGGAGATGCCAAATACAAGAGATAACTGAAAGACAGAATTGGCCTATGTGTGATTCTGTGAAATGAGTAGAAGAGAAGAATCTTAAGGTTACTTCAAACAATAGACAACCTCAAGATACAAGTCACTTATCTTCTATAAGAAAGAACATTTTCTGTATGATATGAGAATTAACTATCTTAAGTGCCTTCTGTGCGGTGAATAAAAACACACCAGATGGATTGTGTGTGGTGTCTCTTAGCACTAATTCTACTCCCCTTGAAAAACATCTCTGAAGGTACATAGAAAATTTTACTTTTTATGAATAGGGTTGGATATGAAAATAATGCTGGCATTGTTCTTTTAAAGTATATCTCCTGAGGGGCAGCTAGGTGGTGCAGTGGATAGAGCACTGGCCCTGAAGTCAGGAGGACCTGGGTTCAAATCTGGCCTCAGACCGAACACTTGACACTTACTAGCTGTGTGACCCTGGGCAAGTCACTTACCCCCAACTGCCAAAAAACAAAACAAAACAACAACAAAAAATAAAGTATACCTCCTGCCCTCTTAAATGATCATGGTTATATAAATATAACTAAACATTTTAGTTGTGAACATTCTTTAATAATTATAATAGAAAAAAGAAGTGAGGCCCTATAAATCCCAGAAAGAGGATTCTCAGGAATATACTAATTGGACTCAAGGTCTCCAAGGTCCTTTCCAACTTTGAGAGTCTGTCATTGGTTCCCTCCTTAAGCATTAGGGCTATCAGCTGTTCTAGCTTTGTATACTTCTGTGCACCCTGCTTGTTCCAAGGACACATAAGTCTTTTCCCTGTCCTCTTTTCTTCTTCTTAGCCTAAAAATGTCCCTCTGACTCCTAAGGACAGTTTTTAAAAAGAGTTAAAAGGGAATGGAGATAAACACTCAAAAACTTATTTTAGAACAACATAGATGTTTTTCTTTGTTATAAAATTAATACAAACTTCACTTTGGGGGTGATAGTGGGAGAGTAGGACTCTCAGGGTTACTTGAGTAAGAAACTTAATTGAACCAACTACCATTTTCCATAAGATCTCATCCCCCCCCCCCCCCATATATCTGAAAAACTCCTTTGGAGTTTTTTCTTAGCAAAAGACATCTACTTGGTGCTCAATGCAGTAGGTGTTCTGACACACTGAATGTACTTACAAAAATCAGTAAACATGAAAATGGAATACCACTCACAAGTACACCAGATTTTTCTTATCAAAAGATATGACACTGAAAAAGGTAACCCCCATCCCATCATAATATGCACCTTGATTTGTATAGCCTTTCCAGAAAGACCTTTATTAGATTTATAAGGATTAACTGTAGAAACTTTAATGAAATCATCCTTAACAAAGCAATGTGTTATAATGGAAAGAGAAGTAAAATTGGACTCAAGAGTTCAAATTATAGCTTTGCCACTTTTTATTCTGTGACATTGGGATAAGTCAATTTCTCTGGGCCTTAAATTCCTCACTTCTAAAATGAGAGAATTGGACTAGATGATCCTTCAGGTTCCTTCTAAGTCTAAAGCCTATGACTGTGTAACTACAGTACACTGGGGAAGTATCTAGGGCACTAAATAAAAATTACAAAATTTCAGAGTTTAGAAGTTCTGAAGCTATCTAGTCTATCCAGAATAGTCATCTAGTTTTTGATTCAAGATCTCAAGTGAGGGAAAATCCATTACTTACTCAAAGACGAAGTAAGGCAATCCTTTTATTTTTAGAAACTAGTTAAAACCTGCTTTAGTTTATTCTTCATCCAGATTTTTTAAAATCTGGATAGGTACTAGATAGGATATTGCATTCCAACATTAAATATGTTGAATTTCACAGCATATAGTTAAGAAGAAATTTATTACACATAAGACCACAGATTTAGGGTTGGAAGGTACCTCAGGCACCATCTAGTCTAAACCCTTCATTTTACTGATAAGGAGACTGAGATCCCAGAAAGGTTGGGTGAAAGTCACAAGGGGAATAAATGGCAAAGCTGGGTTTTGACCTCTGGCACTCTGATTCTAAATGCAGCCCTCATTCCATTTCATTGTGACTTTAGGGGTACCTTTTCTTTTCTTTTTTTTTAAGTGGGTGAAAAAGCATTTATTAAATCCTTACTATGTACCGAGAACTGGGGATACAGATAGAAAAGTAAACTTCCAGTTTTATCTTATTGTTTCCCCCCCCATATTGAAGGTCACACTATTAAAAAAAAAATTGAAGAGGACCAGATGAGGGGAGGGGTACCTTTTCTTAGTCTGTTCATTTTAAAGGGTGAAACTACACTGGCTAAAAAAGTTTTAACTATATATTGATGGGTAGAATACCGATATGTGCTTGTATGAGTGTGTATGTGTGTGTCTAAGTATACACACACATATAGATAACTGTCTTATGCAATCCTGCTAACAGAATAATAATTTTACTCCGCTAAGAGCCAAAAACTAAGAAAACTTACCACCCAGAGTATAAATCCCAGGAGCCTTAATCTCTCTTCCATCCTCTTTCCCCTTTGTTTCCATCGTCCATTTCATGTTCCACTTCCCCCTCTGCAGAATTTTCAGGTCACAATCACCAGTCTGAAGAAGTCCTTCTTCTACTGCAGCCACCTACCAGTTTATTACTCTGCTGCACCAGAAGGGTATATAGAAGAGGTTCTGTTCAGTATCAGATCATTAACCAAACAGGGTTCCTTTGTCCAGCACACTGTGTTTGGGTCTTCCTACTATCTTTATGGCCCCTGCTACCAAATACACATAGCACACACAGTAAGGTATGGATGTGGACTGATGCTACACTGGTAAAATTCCAAAATGAGAAGCTTGAGCCATTCAGCAATTACAATCCCTAAGAGATGTTTTTCTTTCTTTTTTAAAATAATTGTATACTTTCCTAATTCCACTGCTAAGAGCTGTATCAAGGTTCACTTTAGACATGCATACTTGATTTGGTAGTCCCAAGGCCTTGCAAAACTGCATTTCAGAGATCACCAAAATAGAAGCAGAATGAATAGAAATTAATTTTTAGTAAGTTTTTCTAGAACCTAATAGGGCTACATCTTCCTGATTTTTCATGTTTTGGACTACTTAAAATCACCAAACATAACACATATAAACCACACCTACATATGAAATGAAACATCTGCATATGCAATATAATGATATACTTGAAAAATGTTAATTACTTTATTTAGAAATTCTACAACACTTTTTCTACTGGAGAAAATTATTAATACGCATTTCCCCAAACAAAGTGTACATTACTTACACACACAGACACATACACACATATACACATATACACATACACACATACAATAGAATGAAGAGAGGGAAAAAGAATACATGTGTAAAGAGATAATAAAACAGTTTTAACTTCTCATCACTTAGGAGCATTATTATTTTTGTTGTTGCGGTTGTTATGCTAGCTACCAACATACTCAATTCAATAACCAAAAGATGGTCATTAAGGATAATTTTTCCCCTTTGTTTTCCCCCACACCTCCCCCCAACAAAAACAAATAAATAAAAAGCCGTCTGACAACATTTAAAGATGAACACTATTCTAAGCACTGAACTCTAATTTAACAGAGGGAGTGAACTGATGTTCCATTTTCCTCATTTATTTCCCCAACTCTCAACCCCCATCCTTTGACCTCAGTATGCTGGGTGAGCCTGAGCAGAAGAGTTGGTGACATCAGGGCTTCGCCATTCCCATGGCTGCTCTCAGAGGCCTGCTGTGCTTCTGGGAAGTGGGGCACAGGGAAGTCTGTCTGACTGAAATCTAAAACAACATTTTGACCACCCACATCCCCATCCCTCATCTCAAATCTCAATGGTAGCCAACAGGTTTAAATGTCATATATCCACATGAACTGTACCAACTGTATATAAGCGTGGAGCAATCTACTTGAAAATAATGTATCCAAGGCCTTCAACTACCACAACACCTACCAAATACTCCTGGGTCATTAAAAATGGGACACAGAGTGGAAAGTCTTTGAAACCATCTCTTTATGCCCCTTAAGGGTATCTATTCCATATCATCAGCTGCTGACCATGACAGTCAGCTAGACCAAGGAACTCTGGGCTCATTCCTTAAGTACTACACAAGAGTGTAGTACTCTGAATTTGGGATTCCTTCACTTAAGAATTTCAATGAACTAGGAAAGACATCATTGCCTCACAATTCTTGGTAGGAATGACCTCTATTTCATAAGAGGAAAGTGAAGCACAAGATTAATGACTTTGCACACATGTAATAAGATGCAGAGGCAGGGTTAAATGACATTTTCCCTGACTGATGCTTACTAAAACCACTGCCTCTCTGATTGTGGGGTAAAGTACAATCATGTAGGGAAAAAAATCTTGAAAAGCAGTTATGTAATACAAGGCTCATCAAATTCAGCTTAAATAGGAAAATAGGGGGTAATGTAAATCAATAAACTAGGGAGTAGTCTAACTGAACTTAAGAGTTTTGTTTCTGATTTTGCCTCTTACCAGCAAGTATAAACTAAGCCAAACTTCTTAACCACTATATTCCTGTCCCATCCCACCCCCCCAAATTCCCCAAGCTACCTCCCCCAAATTCTGTGATTTTTTTTATCTTTAATTTTATAGGATCATTTGAAGATAGGAAATTACAATTTTTTCTTTGTTAACATGAGTGCCAGAGAAATGCTTGGTACTGAAAGATTAGTACTTAAATTACTTTGTCACTAGTTACTATTATCTTTTTATTTCTCAATTATTCCTGATCAACTTTATAATAATGTCATGAAAATCAAAGTGCTACAAGGACTTGCTAAATGCTATGGTAAAAAGTGTAACATTTACCCTAATTCCTAATTTTACCTTTTCAAAACTCTAGTTTTCCATACCTGTCAACTCTTAATTGATGTCTTTATACTGTGAGCTCACTGTGTACTTGGAACACCAACCCCTGTAAAAGCTTAAGCCAGAGTAGCACAATGGAAGAAACAAACAAACCCAAAACAAAAACAAAGCCAAAAAATCCCCCCCACATTCTAAAATACCCCAATACAGACACATATGCAAAGAATAGAAATATATCTATGCCTCTCAACAGCCTCCCCCAAGAATGTTATACACTCATCCCAACCAGTTCTAAAGTTCACCCAAATGGGGAAATTAAATGAGAAATTTTATAGGTACGCTTAGGCATTCTTTTTTTTTCTAAATCAGTCAGAATCTCTATAAACCAATATTTTTTCTTAAAATGAAATGGGGAAGGAAAGAAGAGAGGGAGGAGGGGAAAGGATAAGTCAGAATACAGGCTGATCAAGAAGCAAGCAGAAAGAGTCAAATTACCTGCCAGCAGGCTGGGGCTCTGCATGGATCCAGGCTGCTGCATTTACCATTATACGAGCTGCATTATTGGGGGAAGGGAAGTTTAAAAAGGCATTGACCCCGAAAGTTCTCAAAACTTCTCACTCATCATCAGGAAGGGGGAAGGAGGAAATTTTTTTCTCTGGGTTTTTTTTTTTTTTGGCTCCGGAAAAGGCTGGCAAAGAACAGTAACAGTGGAAACAGTTAGAATGTTTCTTTAAAAACAAAACAAAAAACAAAAAATAAAACATTAAAGAAATAAAAAGCCAAGTCTTCATTAATATAAGAAGGTTTAACACTAAAGTTAGGCACCCTCCCCAAAACAGTATACCAACAGGACTTTGGTAAAAGAAATAAAATACCACACAAAAAAGCCCAAAACAAAATTAAAAGCATTTCAAGTCAAATCTGGAAGAGGACTAGGAGATTCCAACAGCAGATTTTTGTCTACTACTGAGACACTCCAAAATCCAAGCTTCAAAGACGCTTAACATACTTTAAATGAAACATTTATTTTTTTAAAAGAAAGAAAAAGGAGTGAATCTGGTTATAAATCCTGCAATATATTACTTCTTAAAATCCTAGAACAATGAAAACAGATTTTAAATAAAATAAAAAACAGTAGCAGCAGAGGTTACCTGTCTGAGCACCTACATTTCCTTAGGGAGGAGGGGATCGTGTCTCACCAGCCACATAGCCCATAAACCTTCTCAAAAAGAGTGAGCCAGGAAAAAAATAATATAACACGAGATTTGATTTTACAGTCTCCCTAAGCCCTCCCATAGCCCCAAACTGGGGTTTTACTCTTAAGTGAGTAAAACAACTTTTCGTTTACCCTTTTTTTTTCCTTTTTTTTTTTCACTGAGAAGAGTAGGGGAGTTGATTTGGAAAGTCAGTGATTTCACACGATGCCTTCTCAAAGTCTGATGGAGTGCTTGATGAAAGCATGTCTCTGCGGATTTTTTTCCCCAAAGACTCAAATGTTCCAAAGCTGTTTCTTGAGCAGATAGCATGCACACAAAGATTTCAAAGTTGGGTGAAGGAAAAGCCAGCGGAAATGACTAAGCAGCTTGTGAGCATCAAAAATTTTTTTAAATGGGGAAAAAATAAAATGGAATCGTCCATAGCATGTGTGCATGTGTACAGTCCAACTTCCATCATGTACAAGATGAGGAAACGATCCAGAAAATTAAAAAAAAATACAGTATTAAAAAAGTACAAGTGTGACAAGCTACAAAGCTGTACAAACAATTCAAACTTTGACATGATTATAGTTACACATATAATGACATACACTTCTACCTCTCCGAACAGTAATGAGGTTTATACAAAAGGCATTACAAATACAAAAATAAACTTAGTTGTAACTTAAACATAAATATTTGTAAAACTCTCACTTGGCTCTTTTAGGAAGACTTAACCTCTGTTTAATGAAGGAATAGAGGAAAACAGCTAGGCTTTACTGCTCTTTTCACTCTAACATGTGAACTTCCAAATCATAACAAAGTTGGTGAAATCTACAGTTTAGAACAGTAGGATATTGTAAAAATAGTTTATGAAAGTATGAATAAACTAGTGATGGAATGCCTTCAGATATCTCCTCTTACTTTGCATGTGGATGACCTGCTGTAAGTAGGTAAGTGTAAATGACATTAAATTAATTTCCCCTATTCCCTCCCTTTCCAAACACCAAACCCTAAGGTTGTTTCCCTTTATTGTCAAAGGGAAAAAATGTTTACTTGTACACATCTGTGTACATACATAACACACACGCATATAGACACATTCCAGGTGTATCTGTCATACCGAGATGTTCTCTACATGAAAAGATTTGGGGTAAATGCAACTAAGCACATGCTTCCTCATTTCTTGATTTTTTTTTTACTTCTCTTGACCAAACAATGTACTGCAACCATCAAAGTAACAGAATTCAATTTGAGTCCCATCTGACATGTGATCATTTTCTGTTTATGGCTAACAAGTGTATGAAGTTATACAATGAGTACTCTGCCTATAAGCCAAATCATCTGAATGTGATTTAGAGTATCCTAGGTTTCACAATAAATTTCTCCTAAATATAGCACTTCTACTATGAAGTCAGACACTGGCACAGTTAGAGTTACTATTCTATTTACCAACAATTAACCTTCTACTGAATTTTAATATTTAATTCTATTTAAAAATCTATTTTTGTTACATTCCTTTTTAAAATGAAAGAAAAAATCCTGTACAAATAAGCATGATCAAACCTCTGTTACAACAGGTTAATACTGATCTTTCTTTTTATTGCCTTGACGTCTCTCTAGTAGTATCCATGAGGTTATGTTTAAGGTCCACATGAAGGTAAACAGCACTGGAGAAGCAAAGAAGTGGCTCAAAGAAAAACTGCAGAGGATTGTAGGGGAGATGGTACTTGCTCTTTTAAGAATCCTGTGGAAGCTGGCAGCATTTCCATTTCTCTCTCATATTTACTCCAACACCTCTTTGGGATAGCTTTATCCTTGTTCATTATTGCTGTTTTTTGTGTATGTGTGTGTTTGTGTACTGACACCACTTTTAGTTTCAGGGCTTTACAGATTTAGTGGACAAGGGAGAAAAAAATAGTAGGGAAACCTGATGAAGTTATAATGAGACCCAATTATAACTGACCCAATGCTGCTATCTTTATTTTTCTTCTTCCCTCCCATCCTTCCCTCCAAACCCCATGAGTAGAAGGGGGAAAATGCCTGGCCAAGAGAGTAGACAAAAAGCATGTGGCCCTGAAAGGTCAATAACTAAGGAGAGAAATCAACTGACACAAAATAACATACACACACAGACCCGTGAAGTTTATCTATTTCTCATTGTGGCTTCAAGTGGTCGCTCCCTCCCAACCCCCTCATGAAGTCTAGTTCTTAAAACAACTCATGTTCTGTTCCTTTGAAGTCAAAAGCTACATGTTTCCCTTCAGATCCCACTGACTTTATCTATTCTTCTCACTTAACATCAAGGTAGAAGAAAACAAACCCCCATCAGCCACACCCTCACACACACACACACACATACACACACCCTTTTTCTAAAATGTGGATGCAAGTACGTAATACTGGCATCAAAATGGATTCAAGAGCTTAAAGCAGCTCTAATTTTCCCAAATATAAGTTATTTTTCTATCCTCACCTTAACACACCCAACCACCATTGAAAGACAAAACAAAAGGAAAAAAAGGAAAGGAAAAAAGGATAATAAAGATGCACAGGCTTCAATTCAGTGTCTTGTTAACAAAAGGTAGCGTTTTCTTCACTTTGGCCATTGTTAAAGATGCAGGCATAGAGTAGGGAATATTGGACTAGCATGTATTAAAAAAAATGCAACATTAACATAGTATATAGCTTCCAAAAGACTAAAACACTAACAAATACAAGGCAATGCACATATTTTTAAACTAGTGTAAGTTTTTCCACATTCGATTAAATGTTACTTTGTACACCAAACATTGCAACGCTGTTCATCTATCTTCCATTATGCAAACATGTCATTTCTGTCATTAAGAAATGTTTTTACAGATCACATCTATCTTGCCCTCCCATCTACTATGAAAAACAAAACCCAACCATAAAATATAAAGCATTCATATTAAAACTGTTCTGGAAGATTTGTAAAGACATATGGACATAGAATTGGATACTGAAATGGCAGAAATTTCAGTTTTGATATTAAAAGGCTTCTTTAATTTTAGATATTTCCTCTCATCCATTTCTAATAAATGATCTCAAGAGAGGGGAATTATGGTCTGCAGTAAAGTGTTGACTTTACAAATACAAAAGATATAAGGATCTGTGCAAGAATCTTACATCCCCTCTTCTCTGGCCCTTTATAATATAAGCACATCCATTTTCAAGGTTATTTTAAAAGGTTAACAATAGTGAAGGAATTATCTACTTGAGCCTGAAGACCTTATACCCACTTTTCTGCCTTATTAATTGAGATGGTAAAATTCCATTGAATGGTTCTGCAGTATTAAAAAATGGAGGACAGCAGTAACTGAAAAACATAGGTTTTTCCTTTTCTCTCTTTGTTCTCTTATCTGACCTGGCTCAGTTTCCCCTCCAGCTCCCTGAGCTTCTCTCATAAACAGCATTGCAAGCTGGTTTCAAAAAAGGAAGGAAAAAAGGAAAAAAAAAGAGAGAGAGAAAGATTTACAAGGGCTTTGTTCGTTAATTATTTACAGGTGGAGTCACTCCACCAGGAGTTTGATTTCATTGGCTAGCAGCTGGTTCATGTTGAACAGGCCCCCTGGGAGCTTGGTGAGTAGCTCCCGCTCCGTGGTTTCAGGGTCGCTGTCGACAGAGCTGGAGCTTGCGCTCATGTTGTCGACAGCAGTGCTGGCTGGGGGGCCCAGCTCTGGCTCACTAGTCTCGCTGGCCGTGGACACCACGGAGAGCAGGGACATGCGCCGTGTGAGCCGGCCAGGGGGCAGGAGGGAGGTGGCATAGTCCGCTATCATACCAGCTACGTCTAGATTACAAGCCTTATCAAAGGCGATGAAACCTACATTTGCATTGGCCTCGCAGACGCAGAACGAGCCGTCATCTTTCATCAGTAGGTCAATGCCGCACACATCCATTCCCAAGATGTTTGACACCTGGATGGCAAGCTGTTTTCCTTGTTCACTCAGTGAGCACATCATTCCCACACCACCTAAGAAAGGCAAAGTCACAAGCAGTTACAAATGATGGAATTTTCTCAAATGAACAGAACAGATCAAGCTCTACATTTTCTTGATATTATTAGTCATCTTAGACTCTCTTGAATCAAATTAAACCAAATGGGTCTTAACTCCCATTCTTTTTTTTTTTTAAGTGACTTGCCCAGGGTCACACAGCTAGTGTTATGTCAAGTACCTGAAGCTGAATTTGAACTCAGGTCCTCCTGTCCAGAGCTGGTGCTCTGTCTACTGTGCCACCTAGCTGTCCCTTTTCTATCTTTTTAGAGACATAAAACCAGAATCCTAAATTCAAGCCATTCATTCGTGAACTATCCTCTAACCCAATCTTCTAGGGCTAAGGAGTGAAGTCCGAAAAAGCTACACTATACTATTCTATTCTATTCTATTCTATTCTATTCTATTCTATTCTATTCTATTCTATCTATTCTATTCTATTCTATTCTATTCTATTCTATTCTATTCTATTCTATTCTATTCTATTCTATTCTATTCTATTCTATTCTATTCTATTCTATTTAAGCCTGTCCTTTTACCACTTAGAAAGTCATACTTGATAGCTTGGTTGGAAACTATTGATATTGACATTTTCTAAGTGCTGTCTTACTGTCTCTTGGTGCTATCATGGATGTCTCATTTTGGGTATGTTAAACAAAAAAGCTAATAAGCGCCTACATACAAAAATATATTGTGTCAGCTAATGGAGCCTAAAACTTCACCCAAGACTTCTGGGACACACTGTATTTATCCAGTGGTGGTAACAAAGTTCTTGGTTCTTGGTGGTAACAAAGAACTAGAAACTAATGGGATACTCTCAGCTGAGGAAGGCTGAACAAATTACAATATATGAATGTAATAGAATATTACTGTGTTGTAAGAAATACTAAACAGGACTAGTTCAGACAAACCTGAAAGATTTGTGTGAACTGATACAGAGTAAAGGCAGCAGAATCAGGAGAACGATAAACACAACACTGTAAAGACAAACAACTCTGAAAGACTTAAAACTGACTGACATAATGATCAACAACCATTTCAGAAGATAAAGCAAGTTACTCACCCTCTAGAAAGAGAGGTGATAGACTCAGGTTGTAGAATGTAGAATATATATTTTGGACATCGCCAATGTAAGAATTCATTTGGCTTGACTATGCATATTTGTTACAAAGGTATTGTTTTTGTTCTTCTATTTTTTTAATGGGTTGGGGGAAGGTATGAGGGAGAGAAAATAAATTTTTGCTAATTCAAAAAATTAAAAAAGATAATGGCTTCCATTTTGTATATGTTCAGTTTGAAATGTTTATGAAATATCTAAGTGGAAATGTATAGCAGTAGAAAGATAGTGATATTTGACTACAGCCCCAGAGAAAGACAGGTACTAGATATGCAGATTTGAGAATCAGTTTCCTCATCTGTAAAAGAAGGAAGGTGAGCTAAATAACCACTAAGGTTACTTCCAAATCCAAAGTCTATGACCCTATTCCAAACAAATCTTAACTTAGCCTTGATTAGTATGCATATATAGTGTTCAGCAAATACAGTTTTCATCCAGAAATTACCTAGGCATAATTTAAATTTATGGCCAGAGTTGTGATTTTATTGATGAGGATCCCTCCCCTTTGAGGAAATTCCTACTAACACAGATCAGTTATTGCTTTGGAACTTAAAATTTTAGAGAATCGCAGAGGGTACAAAGAGGTTCAATGATTGTCCAAAGTCCACACAGCAAGTATGTATCATAGACAGGACTTGAATTCAGATCTTTTTGACTCTGAGATGAATTCTCTAATCAGTCAATAAGCACCTGCCAGGCATTATGCTTAGTGCTAGGGATGCAAAAAGACGAAAAACAGTCCCTACCCTCAAGGAGCTCATAAACTAATTTTTTTTTTAGGCTATACATGTATGATCATACTAAACATATTTCCACATTAGTCATATTGAAGAAGAATCATAACAAAAAGGAAAAACCATGAGAAAGAAAAAACAAAAAACAACAAAAGATAAAATAGTATGCTTCCATCTGCATTCAGACTCCAAAGTTCTTTCTCTGGATGTGGGTAGTATTTTCCATCATGAGTCTGAATTGTCTTTGATCATTGCATTGCTCAGAAGAGCTAAGTCTAACAAAGTTGGTCACCACACAATGCTGCTGTTACTATGTACAGTGTTCTCGTTCTGCTCACTTTGCTCAGAATCAGTTCATGCAAGTCTTTCAGGGTTTTTCCTGAAATCGGCCTGCTCACATTCATATTGTACAACTTGTTTTTCCCCACTTGATAGGCACTGCCTCAATTTCCAATTCTTTGACACCACAAAAAGAGCACCAATGAATATTTTTGTACATGTGGGTCCTTTTTCCTTTTTTATGATCTCTTTGGGATATAGCCCTAGAAGTGCTATTGCTGGATCAAAAGGTAGGCACAGTTTTATAGCACTTTGGGCATAGTTCCAAATTGTTCCCCAGAATGGTTGGATCAGTTCACAACTCCACTAACAATGAATCAGTGTTTCAATTTTCCCACATCTTCAACATTTATTATTTTCCTGTTTTGTCATGTTAGCCAATCTGATAGGTGTGATGTGGTGCCTCAGAATTATTTTGATCTGCTTTTCTCTAATCAGTAGTGATTTAGAGCATTTTCTCATTTGATACAGATAGCTTTAATTTCTTCATCTGCAAACTGCCTATTTATATCGTTTGACCATTTATTAACTGGGGAATGATTTGTATTGTTATAAAGTTGACTCAGTTCTCTATATATTTTAGAAATGAAGCCTTTATCAGAGATACTGGCTGTAAAAATTATTTACCAGCTTTCTGCTCCCCTTCTAAATTTGGTTGCATTGGCTTTGTGCAAAAATTTTAATTTAATGTAATCAAAACGATCCATTTTGCATTTCATAAATTTCTCTATCTTGTTCGGTCAAAAATTCTTCCCTTCTCCATAGACCTGACAGGTAAACTATTCCTTGCTTTCCTAATTTGCTTATAGTCTCATATGTCTAAATTGTATACTCATTTTGACCTTATCTTGGTATACAGTGTAAGATGTTGGTCTATGTCTAGTTTATGCCATACTGTTTTTTCAGTTTTAACAGCAGTTTCTGTCAAACAGTGAGTTCTTATCCCACAAGGTGGAGTCTTTTGGGTTTATCGAACAGTAGATTACTATAGTCATTGATTAATGTGTCTTGTGTACCTAACCTGTTTTCACTGATCCACCACTCTGCTTCTTAGCCAGTACAAAGTAGTTTCAATGACTGCTGCTTTATAATACAGTTTTAAATTTGGTATGGCTAGGCCACCTTCCCTTGCATTTCTTTTCATTAATTCTTTTGATATTCTGGACCGTTTGTTCTTCCAGATGAATTTGTTATTACTTTTTCTAGCTGTATAAAATAATTTTGGTAGTCTGATTGGTATGGCACTGAAAAAGTAAATTAATTTAGGTAGAATTGTCATTTTTATTATATTAGCTAGGTCTATCCATGAGCAATTGATATTCTTTCAGTTACTTAGATCTGACTATTTGTGTGAAAAGTATTTTGTAATTGTTTGCATATAGTTCCTGGGTTTGTCTCAGAAGGTAGACTCCCAAATATTTTATATTGTCTACAGTTATTTTAAATGGAATTTGTCTTTCTGTCTCTTGTTGCTGGGCTTTGCTACTAACACATAGAAAGGCCAACGATTTATGTGGGTTTATTTTATATCCTGCAACTTTGCTAAAGCTGTTAATTTTTTCAAGTACTTTTTTAGTTGATTCTCTAAGTATACCACCATGTGATCTGCAAAGAATGATAGTTTTGTTTCCTCACTGCCTATTCTGATTCCTTCCATTCATTTCTAGTACAATGTTGTGTAACAATGATGATAATGGACATCTTTGTTTCACCCCTGATCTTAATGGAAATGCTTCTAACTTATCCCCATTACATATAATATTTGCTGATGGTTATAGATAGATGCTACTTGTCATTTTAAGGAAAACTCCATTGATTCCTACGTTCTCCAGTGTTTCTAACAGGAATAGGTGTTGTATCTTGTCAAAAGCTTTTTCTGCATTGAGATAACCATATGATTTCTGTTAATTTTGTTATTGATATGGTCAATTACGCTGAAAGTTTTCCTAATATTGAACCAGCCCTGCATTCCTGGTATAAATCCCACCTGGTCATAGTGTATTAACCCCTAGATAAGTTGCTGTCATTTTTTGGCTAATATTTTATTTAAAATTTTTGCATCTACATTCATTAGGGAAATTAATCTATAATGTATTTCTGTTTTGGTTCTTCCCAGTTTAGGTATCAGCACCATATCTGTACATTAGAAGAATTTGGTAGTACTCCATCTTTGCCTATTTTTCCAAATAGTTCACATAGTACTGTAATTAATTGTTCTTTCAGTGTTTGATAGAATTCACTTGTAAATCCACCTGGCCCTGGGGATTTTTTCTTAGGGAGTTCATTGATGGCTTGTTCAGTTTCTTTTCCTAAAATGGGATTATTTAAGTATTTTATTTCTTCTTCTGTTAATCTGGGCAATTTATATTTTTGTAAATATTAATCCATTTCACTTAGATTGTCAGACTTATTGGCATACAGTTGTGCAAAATAGCTCTGAAATATTGTTTTAATTTCCTCTTCATTGGTGGTAAATTCACCCTTTTCTTTTTTGATACTGGTAATTTGTTTTTTTTCTTTCCTTTATCTTTTTTTCTTTTTATAAAACCAGCTCTTAGTTTTATTTATTAGTTCAATAGTTTTCTCAATTCAATTTTATTAATCTCTCCTTTGATTTTTAGAATTTCTAATTTGGTATTTAATTGGGGATTTTTAATTTGTTCTTTTTCTAGCTTTTTTAGTTGCATACCTAATTCACTGATCTCTTCTTTCTCTACTGTATTCATGTAAGCATTCAGAGATATAAAATTTCTCCTAAGAACTGGTTTGGCTGCATCCCATAAGTTTTGGTATGTTGTCTCACTGTCATTCTCTTGGATGAAGTTAATGACTGTTTCTATGATTTGCTGTTTGACCCACTCATTCTTTCAGATTATATTAATTTTTAATTAATTTTTAGTCACAACCTAATTTTAATACTGTATGTTTTTGCAGTTGGACATACAGTATTGACATTAAAAATGAATGCTGTCTACTTGAGAATAATTTACATACACATTAGCAGACCTATATGGTAGAAAGAACTCTGAATTTGGAATCTGAGTAAATGGGTCCAAATCCCAACTCAGCATTTCACTGCCTGTGTTAACTCGGATACATCATGGTACTCCTCTGGAACCCAATTTCCTGATTTGTAAAAAACGAAGGGTTTTGATTACATGATCTCTAAGGATCTCTTTGAGTTATAAATCCTATATTCTTATATAAGCAATGAACTCAGTATGTATACAGCATAAAAATAAGAGTGAAAAAATGCCTTTCCCCTAAATGCTACTGGCCAAGGTTATAACTGAAGAGCTTCCAATGGAGCAGCTACTTCTGCCTCCCCTTAATCTTCCCTCCTTCTTACCAAACCACGAGACAATATAGGGTCTGAGGGGCCCTATAGAGGTGTAGAAGTTTGAGACTAAGGAAGGGAGACTGAAAATATCCTTGCCAGTTCCACTGTAATATTTGCGCCAGGTTCCTAACTGAAGGAAAGATCCAGTTCAAATATTCATGATATTGTTTAAAAATTAGAAGTGGAAAACTGATAGTTCAGTGAACACTTCCATTGCTCCAAAAACAACTCAAAAGAGACACCCTACTTAATAGCAGGTTTATAGTACTATCATCATATTTAGGATTCTAGATCTTAGAATCCACAGCTGAAAGAAACTGTAGGGATCATAAAGTCCCCTTACAAATCCCCTTACTTACAAATGAAGAAACTGAGACTCAGTGGGGTTGAGTGACTTGTCTAAGGTCACATAGCTACTGTCAGCAACTGAACCCACGTCCTCTGAATCCATATCCTGTACTCTATTACATTATGTTGCTCTATACAGGTGTACATTATTACTTGTAACTTACAAAATAAAAAAAAATTATTTGCTTTGGATAAGTGCCCACTGGAACAGCCACACTATCCATTTATGTAATGTGACAATGTATTGTTTATACCTAGTGAGCAGTTGCTTTGCATCCTTCCATCAGTTGAACAGCGCAGCATAGTGCCAACTACACGGCCTCCCACCACAATGACACGCACATCCCGGCCGTGAGATTCCTTTATATACTTCTGGAATAGGTACGGAGCTTCATGGCGAATAAGATGGCTTAGGTCAGCCAAGTGGTGCTTATCTCGAGCCAGGAAAACAGCTTTACCTTAAGATGGAAAAAAAAAGGACGCTAAAAGTAATTGTGTTATGGACAATTCATAATTACTTTTGTCTCTTTTTTGGCACCCTCTTCCGCAATACCTAAGTTTTAAAACACCATGACACTTAAAATCAATAATATTTTAGTTTTTCATAATGAATTGTCATGATCATTCAGTGATATTAAAGCCTGATATTAAGTAATATACTCTGCTTAACAGGAAAATGGGAACAAGAAAAGACTGAAGGCTACATTTCCATTTCATTTTAACTATATTAAAATATTTCTTGAGAATAGTGGTGATAAAAATGGTTTACATTTATGTCACTTTTAAAGTGTGCAAAACACTTGCTATTCATCATATCATTTGACCTCTACAACATTCCTTTTGGCGGTAGATGTTATTAACTATAATCAAGGTTTTAGTTTTAAGAAATCATCTAAGGATTCCAGATGATTTTGCAGAATTTGCCTTTTTTTCTTTGAAACCTAACTTCTTCTAAAAATAGACTGAGACTCTTCCCATTCTAGTTTTCTATTTTGGGATTCTACCCTTTCCTTCTCCACTATTGCTCCAAAGCCATCTGAATGCATTTCTGTCACAACAACCTTAATTTCACATTCTTTGGTATCTCTAGTAGGCAGAGGCACAGCCTTCTTTACTGAAAACAATCAGGAATAACATGATCATTCAATAATATAATCAAAATAACTGTTAAGACAGCTTTTAGCAATGAAAAAAGGAAAATTAGGAGAGAAACTTGGCCTTTAGAGAAAAGGATGTACAGTCCAGCTAACAACAATACCTAATTAGCTTGGGCAGGTTTGTCTCTATAGCTATCTCCCTTGCTCTGATTCCATATTGCCAGTTCCTAACTTAGAAAAACGCTGTGCTCCAAAAGTTCATTTATAAAATGGCTATTTGGAACTACGAATACAATTTCCCATAGAAGCAATGTAAATAAATGGTGAACAGATTTCTAAGTTAACTTATGAAATGTCATGTAATCCATTTAGCTTGTGGCATCCATGTAAAAGGAACCTCAGTTTCCATGTAAACAGTTGGGCTGACAAGAATAGCAACTCTAAAACAGGCTTTACTTAACCTAACCAAAACACATACAACAGATTTATATTAGAGTCCATGAACAGTAAAGACAATGGCTCTTCTCTTCACAACAATCAAATTCTTTTGGCTTCATATTTTCACCACTTAAATTCTGACATTCTAAAGGTAACTTAAAAGCATTTTTAAAGGAAAATGAAAAAGCAGTATGAAAAGCAGTACAGTACAATCCAATCCAACGAGCATTTCTGAAGCAAGGCATGGAGGATATGACAAAAAGTGTTGTGTTTACATGAAGTAAATACATACTATATAATGGAGGGAGGAGATGAAACATTAACAGCTAGAAGGATCAGAATAGGCTTTCAAGCTTGTCAAGGGAGCAAGCTTCTTTGTATGGGTAATACATGGTAAATAATGTATATTATCCTACTGAAATATTACAAAAGTAGTAGTTGTGAAAAAAGAAAATTGTGCAATGGAAAGAGACAGGGTGGAGTGGGAAAAAATGTGAGTGTTATATATGTTAGTGTTATAGTGTTAGTATATCTAAACATTTTGGAAGAGGCAATAGAAGGAATAATTCTCTGACTGAAAGCAAATGAATGTGCTTTGGATACAAAACCCTTTCCATATCTATCTAGAAAATAAAAAGTGACAAAGACTCAGTGAAGGATGAACTAATTATAGCTGTAATAACCAGAAACTTTGAATTGATTTCAATCAGTGAAGTTATAAAATCTCTGGTGCACTATTGAAGAAACACATCCCATTCTTATTAAATGTGCCTTAATTCCATTTATAACAACTTATTTTTGTGAAAATTCTATTTGTAATAACTTATCTTTGTAAAATCAGGATTCTCTGTCCTGTTCTCAAGCAAATCCACAGGAAGAAACAAAATGGAAGCTGAACATATAATGCAGGTATCTCTTTCTAAAACTATACCCAGAATAAAACTTGTTGGTTGGTAAGAAATAGAATTAAGGGCCTCATTAATTTATTTAGTTGTGTTCTGATAAACATTTAACAACTTTATGATGTGAGAAAATGTTATATACTATAACAAATTAAGCACCTGTACCTGGTACTGTGCTAAGTACTGTGGATACAAATAAGAAAGACAGTCCCTGCCCTCAAGGAGATACAATCTAATGGGAAAGCAATACAGAACAGGAAATGAAAGTGGGAGCTGGGGCACGGGGTGGAGCCAGGATAACAGGGAATATAAACCAAAGCACTGCAGCTGGCAAGATATGAAAAATTGGCTGGGCTTCTGTGGACTCTTTATATTGAGGATCTGGGAGCAGTCATTTACTAAACAGAATTTTCTTCATGAAAGAAATGAATTATTTTATTTCTTACATACATATGCATGATAAAACTTAAAATTTAGTCCCCTTCATGTTGAATAGGAAGTATGGCAATGTTTACTGAAAGTAAAGCTTTTAGAAGCTCTCACCATGGATGATGGCACACAAACCAAGTTATGAAGAACACTAAAGATTCTAAGAGAAGGAAGAAAGGAGGTCACTCTAGGTATGGGGGACAACTCATACAAAGACCTGAAGGCTGGAGATGAAATGTCAAATTCTGGCTATTATAACTAATTTGACTGGAACAATGATTATTATCTAGCGGCTCATGGATCCTTTGGATATTTGTAACAATGGCCCAAGGAATTCATGCTAACAAATCTTTTTTTAAATTTTATTTTCATCTTTTTATTTTTAGGCAATTGGGGTTAAGTGACTTGCCCAGGTTCATACAACTAGTAAGTGTTAAGTGTTTGGTCTGAGGCCGCATTTGAACTCAGGTCCTCTCAATTCCAAGGCTGGTGCTCTATCCACTGCACCACCTAGCTGCCCCTGCTAAAAATTCTTTAATCTCACCTTTAAGCACTTAATAATTCACACTTATGTTACAAATATATTTTTCTATGGGACAGCAAGCGTGTGCATTTTTGAAGTATTCCAGGTTTATTTCTATAGTGATTTGAAAATGCCATGATCATGAGCACGAGCACATGTTTCATGTTTTCGTTTGATCAGACCAAACTCTGACTAAAGACAAGCTCTTGTAGTTTCTCAATACGTCATCAAATTGTTTCGAACTGCCAAAAGGAATTAGTACAAAACTGACTGGTATGCACAAACTCTCATTTTCAAGAGAGCTTGCAAAAGACTCCTATTATATTCCACCACAAATTTGTGTGAGCAAGCATTTTCATTTTATTCTTGTTTTAAATCAAAATATAAAAATAAACTTGATGTGGGACCATATTTAAGACTGTTTATTTGGTACTGAGCCAAACATTGCAAACCTTTATTCAAATAAAAAGTCTAATATCAGAATTAAATTACTATATGATTATTACATTATGTTAAGTGTTTTCCAAGATGTAACTTATTTCATTAGAATGTCAGTTCTATTTGATAAAATTTGTAGAACAAAAAATATATAAAGTACTGCAGATGATACAAGCATATAAGGTCTTGCTGGATTATTTCTTTTAATTCTTTCACAATGTTGCAATAAAATCCATAATTATTATGATAAAAGTTTTAAATTTTGTCGAGTTTTTATAATTATAAACAGGATAGAATTTAAAATTATGTAATATAAATTTAAATTTGGAACATTTGGGGGCCAAGGCAAAAGCTTTTACACTGTAGTTATTGTATCTAAAAAAATATTATGAACATCATAATAAATTACACTGGGGGTTCACAACATTTTTTATTTTTGTTAAAGGGGAACACAGGGACATTGGAACATTCCCCCTCCCAAACTGGGAACCAATGGACTATGACATCAATAACTATATAAAAGACGAGAGTATGAAATAAGCTGGAGGGAGTCGGACTGTGAAGGATTTTGGATGCCAAGCTTAAGAGTTTAAATTTTTGTATTAAAGGTAATAGGGTGCAGCTGAAAATTCCTGAGCTAAGAGATAAATATGGTTGCACTTAAGATTATTTTGGCATCTGTGCACAAAATAGACTTCCTATAACGAAACAAGCCTTTTCTTAACAATTTCTTTTATCAAATGACTTAACAGGTGAAAACAAAAAGAAATGGCTATGCTTTCAATTTTTATCTGTTATAGGCATATCCTACAAAATGTTCTGATCAATGATGTTTTGCAAGCACCTTATTAAGTGTAAGCAAGCTTCACTGCAACATTATTTAGTCATCCAAGATCCAAACTGGATTGTCTGAGGTGATTTAAATTAGTGTGGTAGCTCCAGAGGCATATCTGAACTTCCATCCGTTAAACACTACACGTATTGCTTCTAGCACAAGTGAAACTCTTGAGAACCTAACTGCCTATTAACATTATTTTTTAACATTACATTTTCCCAGAACTAATTAACTTTAGATAGAGCATGCATGGGTTATCAGCTAAATTTTTTAAAGGTAAATTTAAATGCTACTCAATTCAAATGAACTTTATTAAGGGTCCACTATGTGACAGGCACTATGCTAGATTTGGGAATAAAAAGAACTTGTAGTCTAGTAAAGATATCATATGATAGCCAGAAGCAGCCCGGTGGATCAGTGGATGAAGTACTGGGCCTGGAGTCAGGAAGACCTGGGTTCAAATCCCATCTCTGTCACTTAACTAGCTGTATAACGTTGGCAGGTCATTTAACATCAGTTGCCTTGGCTTCCTCGATTGGAAAGGGGATAATAATACTACCCACCTCCCAGGGTTGTCATGAGGTTCAAATGAGAGAACATGCCTAGAAGTTGGAACCAGACTGTGGAGATCTAGACTAAGCAGTCTGGCATTTACTGTCACTGAAGCTTTCTGAGAAATGAGACCTGTCATTAGAGCTGTGCATTGGGAAAGACTACTCCTATGTGAGAGAGACAGAAGGTAGAGCAGAAGCAGGCAGATCAGTCAGACAGCTACCAGAATAGTCCAGCAAAGGCAATATGGGTCTGAATTTGGGTAACAGTACTGGAAATAAAAGAGGAAATGATTTTGAAAGAAAATGAAGCAGTATCTTGGCAACTGGCTGGATGCGGAAATCTCCATACCACAGCACCTTGCTTATTTCCAACCCACCCCAGTTTCCAGGTCCCCTTTATGTGTTTGTTTTCTCTTTTAGAAAGAATAAGCAGCTTTAAGGTAGGGCTTGTCTTATTTATATTTGTATCCCTAGTGCTTTAGCACAGTATCTGACACACAGTAAAGACTTAATAATACTCCTGTTTCAAAGTAGTTCCATGATAATTTGTATTCACTATCAACTATACTTTATAAATATTAGCTATTGCTACCTAATGGACTTTCCAATTCCCTTATATGGTGTCTTTCAGAATTCCTGTTTCAGAAACTGTTCCTTTCTTGACTTGATTCAAAGATTATTTCTTACTACTATGATCTAGTCATTATCTGGGGACAGACAGAAGCACTTATATTTTCTTTTTCTATCTGATCAAGAAAAAAATAAACCCATTCCATAAACTCTCATTACTTCCCCTGTATGAACTGTGTGTCTGTCTGTGTCTCAGTTATACACACCTCTATGACCCCGTGTATTTTTCACCACCATTGGGAATTCCAATACTTCTGCTTCATCAATCATTTTAGCAAAATTTTCATGACCACCTGTTTAAAGAAAAGAAAACAAAATATAAAAAGAAATGTTTCACGATTGTTCTCTTCTAAACTATTAAGCCTACTTTGATGATCAAAGGCCTAGAATAAACTTTTAAGAAGAAAACAAATTCTGGAGAAGTAAAGATTAATTTTCGTTCAAAACTATGTGTATATTTTAGAATACATGAGATATCTTAAATCCCCTAACTACTACTCATTACCTATCTTTGAGCTTGGCTATTTCACCAAATTTCTCCATCCTCACTGTTTATATTTTCACTATAACTCACGTATCCATAGGACTAGTCATAACTTTTAAAATTTCATCATCATCCATAACTGTGCCACTTCTAAGATCTTCAACTCTGAAGTTATTATCATAATCTCCTCTTCTTTCATTTCTTCCTCATTCCTTCCTAAATCTATTTCTATTCTTCCCTCTTTTCCCAGATCACCAACTCTGTTCTAGCCTCACTTTCCTCCCTTCAGTCTTGACCTTAGTTAACAATTCAATGATATACTTTTACTCTATCCATGAATTCTTTGCTCCCTTGTCATGCTGCCATCCAGCTTTGTTAATCTATAAGTCAGAATTACCCCCCACTATCATCCTTCTTTCATGCTGAATATCATAGGAAGAAATGATTATCAATTGTGTTAACTGTGTCCGTTTCAAATTCATGTCACATCTCATTTCAAATGGGCCCTTACTATAATAAGACAAATGGTAGTGTCTTACTAGTGTTTGGATATAGAATAGGAAGGTCATGCTAAAGGTTAGTTCTATTCTAGAACCAAAGAATGTCAGAGCTGGAAGAAAGTTTAAATACCACTCAGTTCAATCTCCGCCTTTTACAAATGAAAACTGACAGACCTCCAGACTATTGGTTCCTTGCTACTTAAACACACATGCCTTGCTCTTCCTATCACTTTAAACAATACCTCCATTGGTTCTACTATTGCCCTTCATCCTCACTTCAAACAACATCTTTTTACAGTCATCTACACTCACAGCCTCCTCAATTTCCTTATTGCTCACTTCTCAATTCTGTGTAATTCTGCTTCTTTTGCCACCAGTCAATAGTGAATTACAACTACTTTCACAAAGAGTGATTTAAATGACAGAATGTAAGTTCTTTGAGTACCGAGACTATTTCATTTCTGTCTCTATATCCCTGGTGCCTAGCACAGTGTCTGGCACAAAGTATGCTCTTAATAAATGTTTGTTGATTTACCTGCTCCTAAAATCAGTGGTGTGCACTTTGGAGTTCTGTCCTAAGTTCATATTCTTACCCTTGGTGATCTCATTTGTTCACTTTGCTCAATCTCTTTCCACATCTGCCGGATTATCAACTGCCTATTGGGCATTTTTGCTTACAGCAACTTAAACTCAGAAAGACTGAAACAAAATTGATTACCTTCTACCATAACCTTACACCTACCATACTCCATATTCCCCATTTCTGTTTACATCCTCCTAGGAACTCAGGTTCATAACCTTGAAATCCTTGACAGTTTCCTCGTCCTCATTCTCCATATGCTAAGTCCGTTGATTCTACATCTAAGACAGCTCTTGAATCTGTCTCCTTTTCTTCATTCACATGGCCACCACTCTAGTTTAGTCCTTAATCTATTTCACTTACCATAATTAGTCTCCCTGACACCAGTCTCCACCCTCTCCCCTCTTATACATCCTCCATAAAATTATGTTTCTTCCAAAAACATTGGTACAACTATATAGCTGTACCTCTACCTATAAGTGCCCTCCATATTCTTTCTAAAATAAAATATACACCTGTCAGTAAAGACCCTACACAATCTGGCTCCAACCAACCTTTCTAGCCTTATTTCAAATTACTATTCTTCATAGGGTCTAGGTTCTAACTAAAAATTAAATGGCTCCCCAATTGGATATACCAAAATCTACTTCTATGCATTTGCACAAACCATCACTTAGGTAGTAATGTGGTACGATAGAAGGGAGTTTGAGTCAGAAGACTTGATTTCAAATCCTAGCTATAATTTATTGCTTGTATGACCTTGGGCAACATATTTACCTGATGACTAAGATCTCTCATAACTCTAAATCTAAGAACTTGTTGTAGATACATTTCTCTTTCACCTCTACGTTGGAGAACTTTTATCCTTCTTGAAAGCCCTCATCTTTACCTATGGCTAGTTCTCCTGAAATAATTTTTAATCTTCTTAACCATAAACATCATAAGAAATATGTTCATTAAGGCCAGGTACTGTTTCCTTTTTGTTTTAGTACCTTCAGTATTTTAATAACAACAATAATGATAATTAATATTTACATTGCAATTATTATCTCATTTGATCCTCACAACCCTGGGCAGTAGGTGCTATTATTATTCCTATTTTACATATGAGGAAACTGAGGCAAGCAGAAGTGAAGTGCTTTATGTACGGAAATAGAACCCTTTCCTTTAACAAAAGGGAACTAACCTTTCTATGAAAGAATTGCTAGCATCTTCACTTTTTAACCTCCTATTTTCTTGGCCAGCAAGCATACCACAAACCTTGCAGAAGTCCATCTAGCTTTGCTACTTCCCTCATCAGATTAGGAGAATAAATAAAAGTAATAACAAGAAGTAATTTGGGTTTTAGAAGAAACTAAGATTCTAAGTAGTAACATGCCCATTCAAAAATATCATTCCTTTTCCTTTTTATTAATAAATGTTCTCATTCACTTTCTCTACCCTAAATATTAAAAATATCATATTTCTTACTATATAGAGACCACACTACCTTACAGGCTAGAGCCAACAGTAGTGAGATTAGACCCAAACCAAACTACACCTGCAGAGATCAGTACAAATCTTGCTGAAAAGCTGAAGCCAAGAAAAGTTTGCAAACAAACCAGGATGTTGCAACCCATCCTGCATATCTTGATAAGATGCCTGTATCCAGAATTAAAGGGGAAGTATCCTACTTATTCTTTTTTAAAAGTAGAAGTATTAAATTATGTAGCTACAACAATGCAACATTTAGGGGGGATGCCCATCAACTGGGGAATGGCTGAACAAACAGTGGTATATGAATGTGATGGAATACTAGTATTCCCTAAGAAATGAGCAGATGGTGAGTGAAGTGACCAGAACCAGAACATTGTACATAGTAATAGTAACATTGTGCTATGATGAACTATGAATGACTTAGCTTTTCTCAACAACACAATGATCCAAGACAATTCCAAAAGACTTATGACAGAAAGTACTATCCACATCCAGGGAAAGAACTAATGGAGTCTGAATGCAGATCAAAGCATAATATTTTTCACTTCATTTTTTTGTGTCTTTTTTTCGTTTGTATTTTCTTTTGTAACAGGACTAATATGGAAATATATCTTGGATCTCACACACACACACACACACACACATACACACACACACACACATACCCTTTACCAAATTGCTTACTGTTTCAGGAAGAGGGAAGAGAAGAGAGAGAGGGAGAGAATTTGGAATTTGAAATTGGAAAAAAAAAATTAAAAAAAAAAACAAACCTAAATGCAAGTTGTTTTTTTCTTGCACTACAGGTATGCAAAAGGGGTAGATTTCCGCACAATTATATTCCAATGATAGCTGCTCAATGGTAAATCTACATGCAGGACTACCTGCATGCTTCTTTTGGTTTCATAATATTAACAGAATGAAGATAATCAGAGGAAGGAAGAACAAGTCATCTGCCTTAACTAAAGCCCAAGTATTTCTGTCACACTGTCTTTCCAAGACTACAGTGCCTTACTGATGTGTACCAATGTTTAAAGGTATCTTCCTGCTGTTACTGAAACTCTGAAAGGGAAAGGAATGGGTATGTTTAATTTGTGCTTATAAAGCACTAACATAAATAGGAAATATTACACCCTTGCATGAGGTCTGCATCATTCTCTTTGCAGATGTCTCCCAAACTATCCATCCTTAATCTCTATTCTGATATCTATAATCCTGAAGCACCAACTCTCAGTGGATGATGTCATGTAAAATTCATTATCTTCTCCCTGACTTTCCCAATTCCCCTATTTTTGCTGAGGGCAAAAATCAATTTTCCAGTCACCAACATGCATAACCTCAGCCATTCTCAATTATTCCTCATCTCTTATTCACCTTATCTAATCAGGTGCCAAGTTTTGCTAAGTCTACCTCCCAACAACTCATACCCATTCACTTCTCCTTGTTCACAGGAATACCACCCTAGTTTAATACCTCAACACTTTTGAAGGCAGCTAGGTGGCACAGTAGACAGAGCTCTGGGCTTAGAATCAGAAAGACTCATTTTTATGAGTCCAGTCCTGGCTTCAGACACTGTGTGACCATGGGCAAGTCACTTAACCCTGTTTGCTCCACTTTATTCAACTGTAAAATGATCTGGAAAAGGAAATGGCAAACCACTCTAGTATCTTTGCCAAGAAAACCCCAAATAGGGTCAAGGAGAGTCAGACACAACTGAAATAACTGAACAATAAACAAAAACTATTTTTATCCTCCAGCAGAACGCAAGTTCCTTGAAAGCAGGTACTTTTTGCCTTTTTGACTTTCTATCCCCAAATCCTAGTATAGTGCCTTGAATTTGTTGGTAAAAGTTTTGTTAAATTGAATGGTAATGAATTTCCATTATTTCCTGTCTTATACTATGGAGTTAAATAAGAAGCCAAGATTCCCTAACTACCCTACTCAAACTGTTTAAAAAGTCAAAATCTTTAGGTTATATCTCTATGAAGTCCCCCATTATTGGATTTTCCTTAAGCATTTGTTCATTCCTTTGAAAACTGTCACTGGTTCTAGACTCACGCTATGTTTTCCTACTGATGGCCTCACCATAAGAGAAGGTATCTGGAAGAGGAACACCGTGGCCAGCTAGCTCTTGGAAGGTCCAGAACTTATTGACACAATTCAGGATAGCTTGAGGCCGGTTCATCAGCCGGCATCCCATCTTCTCTAGATGACGTAATACAGTGATATCACTATCACTCTGCACCCAAGGTGTTGGTACCCTTACAACCACCACCTGTGGATAGGCAGTGATCAACTCCCCATTTATTCGGAGACCTGCAAACAGAGGGAAGAAAAGTGAGTGAATTAATTTAAAAGGTTCAAAGGAAATGGAAGAAAAGATACAAAGCACAATACAGATATTCCAAAGCACAGTTCATGTAATACTCTGCATTGTTATTGATCATTAAGAGTCATGATGACCAACAATGCAAACTTCAAAACTATGGCAATATTCATAATTTCATAACTCCATAGTTTAATAAAAGTAAATTTTCTCTTCAACAGACCAGACTAAAGGTTATATTATATTGGAATGGAAAGGGATTATATTTTTTTTTGTTAAGAAACCACTAAATTCATTATCAAAACCCCCAAACTCTTATCTTGAATGGTTTTCTTCAAGATGGCACCTTTAATGAATGCACCTCTACTTTTATAGGTCATTATATATACCCTGGAGTCAGAAAGAATTCTTCAGACCAACCAATCTAATTTTGTTGATCCAGTTAAATTTAATTTAATGACCATTTGTTAAGTGTTTACTATATGAAGAGATGTGTTAGGTATATACAGAAAAATAAATAAAACAGTTTCTCCTCTAAAAGAATGGGCAATATTCCATGACCTCTTGTGGTAAACATTTTTATGTTTTATTATTTTTAGAATCAGAATTTTTATTTCATCTCAAGGATTTACAAAATTCTTTCCTCTTTTGGGTCATTTTTTAGATCCAACGAAGTAAGGATATACGAAATGACTAGCCTCAAATACAATAAGATTACAATATGAAAAATGCTAATTTTTCAAACACAATAAATTAGATGAAGATTGAAAATGAACGCAAATTAGATTTAAAAAGGAAAAAAGATCTTGACTATAAGTTCTACAATACCACCATTTCCTTACCTCCCATTCACTTCTTAATCCACTGAATCTAGATTCTAATTCTATTACTTGAGTGAAGGTTAATAACGTTTAATCTTATTTCACTCCTAAAAATTTGATGGTCTTTCCTCAATCCTCAATTCTTTGATCTCCTTTCATAGCTTTTGACTCTGTTAATGACCATTTCTTCCCTTGGCTTCCATGAGACTGCTTTATCTTGGGTCTCTTCTAGACACACTGTGCCTCCTTTGCTGGATTAACATCATCCACTTAGCCACTAAGTGTGAGTAACCCTCAAATGCTCTATCCTTGGCCTAAATCTTTTCTCTAAATATTGTTAGTGATCTCATTAATTTCTATGACTATTCTATTACTATCTCTATGAAGATGACTCCCAAATCTATATATTAAATAGTCAATCCTGAACTCTAGGATTGTATAACAATTGTTTATAAGACTCCTACTAGATGACCCACAAATAGATTGGGTTCAACTTGTTTAAAATAGAACTCATTATTTTAACCCCAAGGACATCATTCTTTGTGATATTACCCATTTCTACTGATGGCACCACCATCCCTCCAGTCTTTAAAGACCCCAACTTTGGAGTCATCCTTGATTCTTTCTCTTCCTCAAATCTTATATCCAAATAGTGTCAATTGCTGAGTTTTCTTCCATAGCATCTGTTGCCACATACACACAGTTCTTGCTTTATTGATGTGAATTTGCCCAGCGATGTGGGAATGAAGAGGCACACAGTTCAAGGACATGTGGGGGGCCAGGGACAGAGAAATGAGAACAGGACAAGGAACATGTTGTGGGCTGGAGCCAGTCATGTGGGGGGCTGGCTGGAAATGAAAGGAAGAACACACAGACACAGATAGGAGAGGATGAGTGATAGGTGGGGACCAGGGACAGATACACAGTACCCAAGCACTGATGGACAGAAGACACACAGATACAGGCTGGACACATAGGCAGGTGGGTGGAGTGGGGCAAAGATCTCTTTCGGCTCTGGAGGTCTCAAGCCAAATCCCCAATCTGATGGGGGCTGTGGTCTCTTTGCACATCTGTTCTGCTTTCACTTCGAGGGTTTTTTTTTTCCTTGGTGGTGAACTGAGGAGCAGGAGCTGAGAGAAAGGGCACAGTTAACATGGTTTTTTTTTTTTTTGGCAGGGGGGAATGTGGTTTTCAGTATTTTTTTTGGGGTAAAGTTGAATGAGTAATGTGAATTTATATAAGGTGAGAACTGTCTATATACTTTTCTCTCCATTCAAACAGTTACTACCCTAGTTCAAATCCTCATTACTTTTATCTAGATCATTGCAATAGTTTCCTAAATGATCTCCTTGCCTCTGGTTTTTGGCTCTTTCCAAATCATTCTCCATGTAGCTACCAAACCAACAGGCCAGAAACAGATTTGAACATGTCATCCCCATTCAAAAATCTTTAATGGGGTTTCATTTTCCTTTAGGATAAAACACAAATTTCTCTTTTACCAACTTACTGGTCTTATTTCATAATACTCCCTCCTTTAAATAACTTTCCATTCCAGTCATTCTAGTTTGCTAGCTCTTCTCTGTTCACAATTTTCCTTACTTGACCATGTTTTTGTAAAGGTTGTTACCCTTGCCTAGAATATACTCCTTCACCTTCATGTTACAGAATCCTTAGCTTTCTTTAAAGCACAAGCAGGGCCATCTTCTTCACCAGCCTTTTCCTGATCCTCCCAGCAATTAGAACACTCCTCCTAAAATCATTTGGTATAAACTTTGTATTTACTTGTATATATATGTAGCCTCCACTATAAATACTTTACAGAAAGTTTCATTTTTGTCGTAGTATCCCTGCACAATACCCTGCTCATAGTAGGTGCTTAAATATATTTCCTATATACATGTATTTTTATTAATAAAAATACTTTTATTGATGTTTTCTTTTTACATCAGTCACAATCATTTACCATCCCCCCACCAAAACCTTCCCTTGCGACAAAAACATTTGATACTGAAATCTTGTCTAACAATGTATAAAATATTCTGTTCTAGTAGCATCTCTACCCTCCCACTGTGAGGGAGGAGGTGTCTATATATTTTTAAAGAATAAAATAATCACTTGCCAAATGTTTTGTCATAGAGGAAAATGGTAGGAAAGAACTTTAAGATAAACTAGTTTTCTAATCCAGTGTGGCCTGCCGAACTAGACCAATTTCACTATTGTTTTCACTTGGCATGAGATCTACAATATGCATAAGAAACCACAACAAACATTTCTGAAGTACCTTTCATATGCATAGGGTCTGTGTTAGACACCGCAGACACAAGGATTTTTAAAATGCTAATCTCTAAATCACAAAGATTTGTTTTGGGGGAAGAGTGATGAGTGATACAACACATAAAACAAAGTATATATAAAATAAAATGTATGTAATTAAGAAAATCATCTAGAAAAATTTAAGCTGGGGACTGAGGGAAGAAAAAGATTCTGATTAGCCATGAGAAGAGACTTCATGCTAGGCACAGTAGATAGATCTTACAAATGTATGGATTTGGGGCAGCTAGGTGGCACAGTGGATAGAGCACCAGCCCTTAAGTCAGGAGGACCTGAGTTCAAATTCGGCCTCAGACCAAACACTTGACACTTACTAGCTGTGTGACCCTGGACAAGCCACTTAACCCCAATTGCCTAAAAAGGAAAAAAGGAAAAAAATACAAATGTATGGATTCAGAGAAAAGCTAGTATGTAGTATAAGTTGGCTTGGAATGTAGTATGTGTTTGTATATTATCTGGAAGTGGTATGAAATGAGGCTAGAAAGGAAAGCAGATTTAGATTATGGAGAGTACTCAAGCCAGGCTGAAAAATATGTAATTTATTCTACTGGCAATGAGGAGCTCAACATAAGGTTTCTGAGAAGGAGAATAACATGATGAGACCAACATATTAGGAAGATTAGTTAGGCATCATTTTAAGGAGTAAATTATAAAGGGGAACATCTGGGACAAGGATGGTTGTATACGGAACAGAGGCAGAACAAGTGAAGGTAAAGGGACAGATGCTAAAAATATTGTCAAGGACAAATCACTAAGATTTGGCAACTGATGACATGGAAGTGAGGAAGACAGAAGACTCAAGGATAACTCCAAAATTGTGAAATGAGGTTATGGGGAGAAATGGGGGAGCCCTCAACAGAAATAGCAACATTTGGAAGGGAGGCAGTTTGAGGTTTAGGTAAAATAATTAGTTCTATTTTTGACATGCTGAGTTTGAGAAGAGAAGTAAGTGAATTCCATTTCACTAGTGGTCTTTAGGCAAAATCATACTAACCTATATTGTTGAGGAGGTATGTTGTAAAATGGGATTTTTTTTTCAGGTATAGGGTAGATTAGATATCCTCTGAAGTTATCTCCTTCAGTTCTGAGATTGTGCGACTCTAAGAAGCTGACAAGACAGCCAAAAGGAGATGTTACAAATCCATTAAATAGATGCTTTATTAACTGCCTATTATGTACAAGTCAAGTCAAATCAACAAGCATTTAAGTGGCAGACACTATACTAAGAGGTGGGAGTAAAAGAAAGGCAAAAACTGTAACCTAAAGCAATTTTCATCAACTGAAGAATGACTGAATAGGATGTGGTATATGAATGTGATGGAATGCTATCATGCCATAAGAAATGAGGAAACAGATGATTTCAAAGAGACACGTATGACTTATATGACCTAATATGGGGTGAAGTAGTAAGCAGAATTAGAAGAATAATTTATATAACACAAACGTTATAAAAATGACCACAGTTGAAGACATATAAACTGGTGAAGAATGAAATGAACAGGGCTAGAAGAACAATTTATACAATACACCAAAAACAAAAAACATCTTTGAAAGGTATAAGCACTATGATGGATACAATGACCATCCATAATTCCAGTAGAATCATAAATGAAATATGCTATCCAGATCCTGACAAAGATGTGAGAGATTTAGGATGCACAATGAGACACGTGTCTTTTGTATATAGGCAATGAGGAAATTCGTTTTGCTTGACTATGCATATTTGTTACAAAGAAATGTTTTGTTCTTGTTGAGGAATCATTTCACAGAAGCTTTGAACAACATTGTAGACATCTTCAGGGCATCAGAAAGCCTATTGTTTGGTTACTGTTCAATCA